ACACGCCTCAAAGCAGACGTTAACTTGAACCTCACACACTATGGAATTTATTAGAAATTGCAAACGATAACATACCTGCTGGGTAGGCATAAAATTATGTTTAATTAGTCGATTCTTTATTTAAAAAGATAGCTCTGTATCTTCTTCCATTTATGATAAAAATATGAAGAATGATATTCGATATTGATTCCTATTGGAAATATAACGAAACTTAATTATGTTGGAGATGAAGCAAACATAGATATTAGGACCCTTAAGGTGTATAGACATTAACGAAAATATGTATGATACAGTATTATAGAGGACAGTAAAAACGAACACGACAAAACTTAAGCCTCCTCAAAATCCAGCGATATCCAGCCTCATTCCAATACATGTTTCGATACATGCCTCCCTGTCGCGCCATCTATAACAGATAACTGGAGATTCGATGTCAATCAATGTCGCGCCATTCCGCAAAAGCAACATGGCCGCCGCCTGATCCAGGCCGGAACTGGAAATCCTAGCGCTGCCTGCCGTAACAAACAGCTATATCCCGGATTTAACGGACGCTGATTAATGGGATCCGAAGCCGGTTAATTCCCACCAAACGCTCTGCCAAAACTCCCGGGACCGGCGTTTAGACTGGGATTGCTGGAGATTTGGGATGAGCGATGCGAGGTCACATTCAGAACGCGGCTGGCACGAGATCGCATGCGTATTCGACGACGGCAATTTACAATCTTGAATAGATGGCCGTGGAACGAGCGAACAACAACGAACGGTCATGGAGTGCCGTCGCACAGTGTAGTGAAATAATAGTGAAAATGGAGAAAATTCTTGAATCATTAATATGCATCATCATAATCTTTAATATCATACTGCAATCAACGTGATGAAGGTCAAAAAGGAACCAATAGCAGCAAACCAAGCATCAGAAATGCGGATATATTTTTTAGACAACCAATGAACCAATGAACGAATAATTTGCTATTAACGTTGATGTGTGAAGATCTAAAAAAATGGCGATTGATATTGCGTCAATATTTTGTATATTAACTTTGATGGCTTAGTTCAAACAATTCTTATTTTTATGGAAAAACATTTTTTTCAGGGTTCTTTTATTTTTCAAACTTTAAGTAGCCTTTCTGTTTCTTCTCTAGTAGAGTTACCTCATCCACATAGAATTTTCTATATTCAATATTTATATGATCTTATATTTCCTGTGATTTTGTTTTTCAAATATGGGTTCTTAATAAGTATAGTATACTTTATCTAATCTCAGTTGGAAATGGGCGGACCTAATCTAATAATGTAATAAAAATAAGTTAAATATGCTATATATAGGTAACCGTTTAAGATTCGCTAATGACATAGTCTTAATTACCAATAGTCCTGAAGAACTACAAGCACAAATTAACGAACTAAATACAGCCAACAATAAAGTAGATATCCAAATGAATTTAGCAAAATCTAAAGTAATGTACGTACTAAGTAAACGAACTAGTAGACAGAAAAGATATTCTAATAAATAGCACAACACTGGAAATAGTAGAAGAATATTTAAATAGGGGCAACTAATAAGCACAGCTCGGGATATCTACTGCCAGAAATCAACAGAAGAATTAAGTTAGAATGGAGTACTTATGGAAGAAACTCAATCATATTCAAATCTAGAATGCTACTTTATCTAAAGAAGAAAACATTCGACCAATGTGTACTACCAGTTAAGACGTAGGCATGCGAAACTTGGATTCTTAAAACATACATTATACGGAAACTACAGGTTGCAGACGTTCACAATGCTCAATGGAACGAAATATGCCGGGAATAGGTCAAGAAAGACCGTAAAATAATAGAGTGGATATGACAATAGACCCAGGTAATAGATGTCATCAACAGAATCATATCTCTCAAGTGACAATGGGCTGGACTCATGACAAGAAAGACGGACAACAGATGGACCACAAAAATTACAGCATGGTACCCACTAGGAATTAAGAATCCTAGAAGAAGACCAAACCTGAGATGGCACCATGATATTCGGAAATTAGCAGGGATAACTTGGACCCGCATAGCTAACAATAGACAACAATGGGCCGAAAACTGGCACTGCTTTAGCCTTACTCATGCCGAACTTGGGAGAAGCTAGGGCATCCAAAAGGAGAGTGCTTACTAGTGTGGTACACTCGCAGCTGTTATATGCTGCACCTGTATGGCATAAAGTCATTAACAATCGAAAGCTTACACAAAGACTACGCAGAATACAAAGTAGCATGGCTATTAGAGTATGCAGCACATCAAAAACGGTATCTGGAGAGGCTATAGGGGTAATATCTGAAATAGCACCTATTGAACTGCTCATACAGGAACGATATGATAGATAACATGGGATGGATAAGGATCAAGCGAGGACAAAACTTCTCCAACAGTGGCAGAACAAATGGAATACCGGAATATATGGCAGATAGACATACAGGTTAATACCCGACATTCAATTATGGTTGAACAGATCATACGGAGAAGTGGATTACTTCATGAGTCAAGCATTGTCTGGCCATGGGTGTTTTAGAAAATATTTGTATGATCGTTGTAGGGTTGATAGTGCATCATGCACCTGTCAGGTTGATGATGTTCAGCATACACTGTTTGCGTGCGAACGATGGCAGGGCTTTAGGGAACAATTGCGTATGGAAGTCGGGAAGGACATCGACTTACCCACATTTATAATATACTTAGTTGAAGGAGAAGAAGCAATGCGAGAGCAGATTCCAGTGGAAGATGGAGGAGGGTTTCTTTAGCCGGTAGGAATCCGGTACTACCCAACTTTGGGTGTCTTATGCAAGATCTTTTCCCTCCTCAACGAAAAAAAAAGACAACAATGGGCCCAATTACAAAGAGAGTATCGAAATATGTTACCACCCCATAATTGAAAATGGTTGGTTAGGCTGGAATAAGCTGAAAAATGATGATGATGATGATACAACAATCCTATACCTGACAATTGAATTGTCACCCGCACCGACCTCGCCTATTTCTGACAAGATTTAATCGTGAACGGGCCGGGAACTCCGAAAGCTTCTTCAGTATTGTCCTATATATTATAATCATTTATGGGGTTTGCTGTTATAATTCGATATTAACCAGTTACAGACATCGATCCGCGTTGACTTTCAGGGATAATCACAATATAGTTCTGTTATTTTATTTTAATTCGTAATTTGAGCAGAGCACATAAAGGGAAATTAAAACAACTTTTGTTGCACGTCATCAATGACACCATGCGTCGTCTTATGGAGTTTGCTGGTGGTCGTATTACGATGTGCAACCAAAGTTATTTTAATTTCCCTATATTTAATGTTATTCCAAATAAAATCGGAAAGACTGTACTAACGTGTAACTGTCCCCATTATTTCTTTTTTGTTTGTTTTCGTCGTCTACTAAAATATTGAAAATAAAAAATACGACTTTTGTCCCACTGTCTCTATTACACTGGGAGTCGATTCGATATTGTTTTTGATGCTCTCTTGTTTTAACGAGAGGACAGTAGGGGAAGGGAGAGCGAAAAGGAACGGGTCGGATTAGCCTGTTCGCTATTAATCTAAAATTTAAGCCAGTTTTTTTGTTGTCTGGACTGGAGAAAGACGGGGATCATCGGGGTTGGGGGAAGAAGAAATGGTAGGGGGAAAGTAAGGGAAGGGGGGTAAATATTGTAGAGAGGTGAGGCGTAACGATAATTGAAATGGAGTCATTGGATTCTCGGTTTGACGCGTAAAGTCAGCGATTTTGTAGGCTTTAAAATGATTATTTATTTTGATTAAAATTGGGTGAAACAATCCTAATTTATGATTAATTTTTGAAATGAAATATCAAAATCTTTAAAGATAAATGCTTAATAACCATGATACAAAGAAAACAAGGTATGATATTGCGCAGGTTAGTCACTACATCCCTGGTGATTAACGACACTATTGGTCGGCAAGCTTCGCGCGCCAATTTCAAATTGTCAAACAGATGACACAGATGGCACATAAGAAATGTGTCATAACTTTTCAAATGTCAAGCTCAATGATTTGACATAACTTATGTGGTTATGTGCTAATTCTTCACTATTTTTAGCCCTGCGCTGGCAGCAAAAAGGAGACGTTAACTGAAACCTTTTTTTTAAGGTCTTTTTTTATTAGTGGCAATTGAACAATATGGATATTTTTTTGTATGGCATATGACGTCACAGGTGATATGCGCAAACTGAACGAAATTGGAGCCGCTATCGATCATATCTTGTTTTCTTTGTACCATGCTTAATAATAGTCGTAGGAGACTTGACGAGTAGACGGCAAATTTGGTTATTGTCAAACACGCTAGATACATTTCTGAAAAGTATATATCTTTAATTTATTCATTTTATTTCTAGTTAGAGAGAATCATCCTATACAGAGTGAGTGTTAAATAAGTGTAAATATTTTCAGGTCTGGGTAGATCTCGATAAAAGAAACATATTTTCTCTTTACCGTTTTGAAAATAAGTCCAAAATAACCTACTTATTCAAGTTTGGAAATTAAAAAAAAAAGATTTATTTATAAAAAAAATTGAGAGCCACCGGATTTTTTCTGTATCCCTTTTAGTGCCGTAACTATAGTAATATCAGAGATTACATGGGAAAATTTGCGGGGAACAGGAAGTTCTAAAAAGTTTTTTAAGTATACAGGAAAATTTAAACAAAATTGGCATAATTTTTTACATCATTTTTTTTGGCGAAAAAACCTCATAAACATTCTTGGTTCACGAGCTCAAAATATACCATTCCTATAAAAATATTCGTACTTATTTAAGACTCTCCCTGTATAGACAAATTACAGACTTTTCCTAATTTCGCATAAAACTTTTTAGTCTTAGTTATTATATATCCATTCTTAGTGAACTTCTTTTAAACGAAATATACATCTTTATGAATTTCTTCTGTATAGATTTCCCTATTTGTTTTTGATTTGATGCAACTTTTAAGCCAGTTATACTTTTAGCTGTCCAAAACGAAAGACAGCCGAGGAATACAGCTACGATTCGACCGGAAACGCTAAGGGACATGAGCGCTGAGCAGGAAAGAGCTCTTAGAGAAGCTGCTGTAGCTGTCGGGGTATTTGGGTAAGTCCAAAATTCTTAAACTAATTTGTTTTTTAGCAAATTCTCTCAATATTTGGCCGTTCTTTGAGAAGTAACTTTAAACCTTAATACTATACTTAACTTACTATATAGAAATTAAGCAGTCCAAATTTTTCAAGTCGGTCTTTTTTCAATCGAATCATTCAAAATTTTCATTGACAATATGTTTATTCGTACTAAGTACTATATGCTAGTGCTATAACTTTTTTTTCTTATATTACCATACTTTAAAGAACATAGACGACCGTGATTGTGATGTGGCATCAGCTTTTCATATGTTTATACCCGAGACCGTTGATTGAAAGAATTGGAAAGTTACGCAACCATTAGGTTGCGTATCTTTCCAATGGGGCGAATTCGTGACAAGGCTCATTTGACTTCTCCTTACGTCTCAAGTGCTGTATGGAGAGACCCCAGTCGTTCTGCAGCCAACGCATAAAACACTTATTTTTTCTAAATGGGCCAGCGAAGGCATATCGTTATTGAACTGAAAGCGACAGTGTTGCCATATTAAGATGTATAATATTTGTAATACGCTTGACGAAAATATTTTTGGATGAAAAATCCGCGTTTAAGTATTGAAAATTTGTTACTGTCAAACATAGAATAAATAACAAAAATAAAAATTCTGTATAGATACTGAATATGTCGTATGAACGAAAAATCGTTTAGTTGGCTTGGAAATGACTATTATTGACAACAATAACAATAACAATAGCTCCCGTATATAGCGTTTAACGCTTTGGGAGTAGCAAGGTACAGCTTGCCATACTAGAGGCGTTCGGTATACAAGAAAGGTAATGTGACTAGCACTACGCTTCAACCGCCTATTATTACCTCAGGATTGTGAATCCCAAGTACTCATTTAAGGCTGAGTCGACCTAGGGACCCAAACTATTTTTATTTTCAATTAAAATAGTCTTCTGATGCAATGCCGGGTGTGGGATTACTATAATATTTTACAAATTAAATGACAGCGATCTTCATTTCCAAGCCAACTCTGATGTCGTTCTTTGTTTAATCTTATAATATTATATTAAATTGTTTAATATAGAAAATCCGTATTATTAACGTATTGTACCCAAAATCTGTAAATCTACGGATTAATCAGTAGTTCTGGCAACATTGTCTCCGGCAACCACTCACTCTGTCGAATGAAAACGGAACTACGGTACAGTATTCTTTATCCACTGCGCTGTAAACGATCAGCGCACAGCAGCGCAGAGCTAAACTAAATTTCGGACAGGCTGACGGTAACGCCAGCCAGGGGCGGATCGTGAATTTGTGGGGCCCTGGGCTGAAACTACTTAGGGGCCTACATAAGTACTCAAATAATAGCCATATCAAAAAACTCTTTCTATAATGATATATTATTGTTCTTCTTCTTTACGTGCCGTCTCTTTCGTGGAGGTTGGCGATCACATTGGCAAAATATTCACGATTCTCGGCTTTCCTTATAAGTTCTTCAAATGTTAGGTGAGTCCAGTTTCTGATGTTTCTCAATCAAGATAGTTTCTTCCTGCCGAGACCTCTCTTTCCTTCAATCTTACCCTTAACTATCAATTGTAAGACGTGGTATTTTTCATTTCTCAATATATGCCCTAAGTATGATGTTTTTCTTATTTTTATTATATTGAGCAATTCTCTTTCTCTGCCTATTCTGCTGTAGACTTCGGTATTGTGATATGTGGATTTAAGTAACATAAATGTTACTTAAATCTACGCAAGTATTAGTTGTACAAAAGGCGATCTTATTGCTGTGGTAGCAATCTCTTCCAGGCAAACTTTGGGTGAGAGAGAAACCGAAATAGTGATATTTTATAAGAATATAAAAAAACAATAAAACAATTTTATTTATTTACTTATTATGAATTAGTAAAATAAATTGATAGGTAGTAGTCACAGAAATTGACAGTTATTTGGTCATCACATTCCAAGTCTTTAGTTAGATCACAATTTATGGAAAGAAGTGATAAACTATTTAGTCGATGGTTAGACATTGTTGTCCTATATTTATTTTCTACATAGGACATCTTGGAGAAGGAGCGTTCTGCTTTACAGCTAGTGATTGGCAATGTTAAAAAAATCTTTAAAATGGTATAGCAGTTAGGGAACACGTTAATAAGTTTATTTTCATACATGAGCATAAAAATGTCACTGCAAGAGGTGTAAGACTCAGACATAGATTGGAGTAAGTATGATTTTAATTGAATGCACTCATTCACTAAATGCTCGTCTACGTCATCGGGATTGTAATCAATAATATGAAGTGTAATTTCCAAATCTATGTTTTCGATATTTTTGTCTTGCAAATCCATTAAAAATTTGAATTTCTTGCTATATGTCTCATAGACTTGTCTCCTTTTATTTAAATCCATAATCAGCTTATCCAACGCAACTTTTAACGTGTCTCTTTAAATCTTTCTGCGCCGTATACTGAGAATTCACCTGTAGACTTATCTGAAAATTTTGGGATAATGCATCTCTTGTTTATGTAATTGTAGTCTATTATTACACTAGTACTTAATTTTTTAGCTTTTTCGTCGTATTCCTGTAACATTTGATCTGATTGATGTCGTATGTTGCTCACAAAGTCTTTTAAAGAAACAATTAACTTGTTGCCTTCACAAATGTCTAAACCAGGGCTCTGTATTTTTTTATTAACTAAATGAAATCTCTCCAAAACTTCTTCCCAAAAGATAATCAAAATTGCAGTCTCGAGTTTCGCCATTTTATTGAATAAATTTCGTGCCTCTTTCCGGAAATCAACTTTCTCAACCTCATTTTCGCTGAAACTTTTGAAAATTTTCATAATGTCATCATAATTATTTTTTAAGGCTTTGACAGCATCATAGTGGCAAGGCCATCTTGTCTGGCTTAAACTTTTAACCTGAATTTTAATTTTATTTCACGATTCAACAGTTCCCACCTATGGGTCTATTGTTTTTCGCGGGGCCTGGGGGCCCCTTGTAACCTCGGGGCCCTGGGCTGCAGCCCAAACAGCCCGTAGGTAGATCCGGCCCTGACGCCAGCTATATCTCGGACAGGTTTTGTGCCACGAAATCGCCCATAAGGTTGCGCATCTTCTTATTTCTTTAATCAACGCCTGAACTACATTTTATCGCCGAATTTGAACGTCACTATTTGAGAGACTGTACTAGACAATAAACTGAAGGTGTTTTACCATTGCCTTCCTTGAGGTGGCTGTCAATAGTTGCTTTATTTAGATGAAGAAATAATTTTCTTGGAAAAATTTAGAAATTAATAAAGCAAATTATGTGTTTTTGTACGAATCAGTGGTATTCTCATTTGAGTGGTGAGACGCACTCGCCGCGCCGCTTAGAAACTACCGGCCAGTATTTGAACTATTATATTAAAATAATCTGTAACTACTTGAAAAAAATCTATTTTCGATTTTCGAACTAGCATCTATATTTAGATCGTTTCCGCCATTTATAGATCCATTTTACCTTTCGGTGGAAGATTCACAGTTGATCGCTTAATGTTTTAACGGCACATCGATCTTTTTGAACGATGGAACGGTTTGATTGAACAACCTTGTGGATCGAGCGTTTGTCATACGTTAAAACATCGATTGTCTTCAAGCTTAGTTTAACTTTTCCATCCACCACTACTGTTTGTGTCAGAATATATACCTGTATCAATTAATTCATGCCAATAACTCCACATCGCCGGTTTTTTAACATAGCTTTTGCTAATTTTTATCCTTATTTTTAAAATCTGACGTATGTAGTAATTTATAGCTTACTTAGGCTGTATTCCGTTGCAAAACCAGGCGAACCAGACCGGTAAACTACGGTAAAGAGCGGTTCCTGAAAAACATCGGTTTGATACGGAACGGTTTGGTAAAATACTGGAAACGTCAAATGTTGACGTTTTCTAAATTTCAATACCTCTATTATAAAATGTATCTTTTATGCATTTTTAATGTACCTATTCTCTGCTTTTACGTTTGCTTCTTCTTTTCAATGGAGTTTAATATTGAAAAGTACTTTATTAATAAACTGTTAAACTCGTTAGACAGCTCAAGTGAAGATTTGCAAGTCCAATATTAAAACAGATCAATAATAAATAAACAAATCTGATCAATATTTATATTTTTATAGCTTACAAAACATTCACGATTACTTGTTGTTTTGTTTTTGATGTTTTCTTTAAATGTTCCTGACTTTAAGAAACAATGGCTGCATGATAAGTTTAAATGGTCCTAAAAAGTAATTCTATGTAGTTAATGAAATGCATTTACCTTTACTGCCTACCTTCATTGCTTTTGGATGTAAATACAAAATATTTTAGAAAATTTTAGAAATTAAATGAGAATTTCACTCGAACTTCCAATATTTGCTTGATTTCTGTCACATAAATGACATTGATTGACAAACAAATCCAGAAAAACCAGCCTTCTCGAGCTGGTTAGTTTGGTGACAGTTATAACATGGTTATAAAGGTTATAACCGAATTTTTCAAGAACCGTTTTCCGCAATAAGAAAACTTTCAGGATACCGATAGAAACGGAACATAAAAGCATAACCAAAAGGTAAGCAACGGAATACACCCTTACTGTTATCTGTTGTCTTCTCAAATGAATTCAAAGGAAAGACGTTTTATCTTACTAAGAAAATTGTCATAATTTACATTAAAAACTATAAAATACTTTTTAATTTTTCTAAAAACTTTTATTGTTTTAAGCTCGGTTTTAAGTTGAAGGTTTGTTTTAGACCTCCGTTAACGATGGCCTTATCACCTGCCAGATATGGACATGCTCTATTACCTCCTATTCACCAGCCCACCATTCCTAGAGAATCGCTAAGGGAACCTAGTCCTAGCAAGGACAACATCAACAGTGACAACGATGGTAAGTTTTGTTAATTTGGTAATATTTTCAGCGTGTATGGTTTTCTCACTACTCTTATTGAATACTTTTAATTATCAACTATTAGATTAACTAATGTAAACAAATTGTTTTTTTTTATTTACTGTTCGATTTGAATACAGATATAATAGTTTTTCGAAGATTTGATAACCTCATTGGCGTAATTTCATCTTCATAAAAACAGAAAAATTAGCTATTTTTAGCGCAGAAAATATTTAGGTTGCATACCTAAATCGAAGTAAAATGACATGATCATAAGTTTTAATATCTACAAAACTTCATACAGGGTGGCGCACCTCATTCACCTCGGTTGATTATACGAAAACGGAAAGATGTAGAAACAAAATACTTTATGGGTAAATGTGGGGAGGCAATGTGCAAAATTTAAAATTATTCCGAAATATACAGGGTGTTTCAGAACTAATATCCATACCAATGTTATATTTTCTCTTATGGAACACCCGGTATTTTATTTCATTTTTGGATTATTGGGTCCAAAAAAAGGCATATATTATAATGGCTAAATATGTTTAAAATCTTTGGTTTTGGAGATTTCAAGATATTTGAATATGCATGCTACAATAGAATAGATTATACAGTAATGTACCCTGTACACTACTTTTCAGAATGAATTATTGTGCTGAGTTTAAAGGTGGGGAAATAAATTTTACTGAAAAATGTTATTGCTTCCTTAAATTTATACAGGGGTACCAAAAATTGCTGATCCATTTTAAGGATTTATTTTATATAAAAACTTTCAAATGCAACACCCTGTATTTTTTGAAATAAATTGAAGCAGATTCAAATGCTCTTTCAAACTATATTAGGGTTTCCATACCTATCTAGCTTAAATTTTGAATAAAAAGCGATTTTTCAATAAAATCGTAATCAAGATGGCTGGTGTCGCCATGGCAATTTTCTAGTGACATTTAGTAACTATTTTCAAAATCGACATTAGTTTATGGACATTATTATTTAGATTTATAACAGTTTACTTATATTTACTTATAAATAGTTTTTATTTACTTATATAATAGTTTTATAAGTAAGTATTCATTATTTTATCAAGAAAAATAAAGCAGTATCTGCTAGCGGAACGAATGGATATGTTACTAGTGATTTTATTTTGTGAGTAAATTACTTCTCGGCCTCAAGAGCTTATGCTCCAAGATATCCAAATAGGAATCTTTCTGATAAGCGTTTCTTTGAAAAACTTCTTTTCCTATTTCGCAGAGCTGGTAGTGTTGTTTATAAAAAATCTATTAGGCAGAAACCTGTTGTTGGACGTGAAGAAAATGAATTTGTCGTAATTGGCTCTTTTATAGAAAATCCATATTTCAAAATGCATATTCCACATCGCAAAATAAATCACAGAACTACTTCTTCGTTTTTCTTAATATAATAATAAATACATATTTAATACATTTTATTTATTAAACTATTATTATAGGTAAATTAAATAAAAGTAAACTGATTTTAATAATAACTATTTTCGATTTTAATAAACTAATTTCGATTTTGAAAATAGCTACTGTCACCAGGAACTTGCCATGACGCCACTAGCCCTCTTGGTTGCCATTTTATTGAAAAATTGCTATTTATTCAAAATCTGAGCTAGATAGGTATAGGAAACCCTAATATATAGTTTGAAAGAGCATTTGAATCTCCTTCCATTTATTTTAAAAAATACAGGGTGTTGTATTTGAGATAAAGTAAAAATAGAATATTCGTATATATCAATCCCAAATGAAATTTTAATGTGTATGAGACTATTTTAGTAAATACCATTTTGATTTTTTTGTTATTTATCATGGCGTACTAATAAGAAAATGATATATTTTAAATATTGCAGTAAATAGTGAAAATAAATATAGAGTGATTATATTTTTGAGAAGCTCATAGCAAGACAGATCATATGATTTATAAATATACAGGGTGTTCCATTTGGAAAAACATAACTTTAGTTCGAGCTTTAGTTCATATTTTCAAAAATATTTTTTGTAGGAAAACAGACTACACCACTGTATTCTACGTAAAAAGTTCTACAATAAACAGTTTTCACCTTCTCGATCCGTTTAACAGTAACAGAGATACAGGGGGATACATCCCAAATTGCAAAATTTTTGAAAAGACCCTGTAGCTCAGAAACAGAAGATGGAAGAGGGCTGTGAAAATTTTGTTTGCAGCATCGTCCGTTTAACACAAAAGTGGGATAGGTTTGTGCAAACCGCATCCTTCTATCTTTACTAATAACGGATATACCGTATGATTTCAACCAAAATGGCACACCCTGTATAGAGGTAAATTGTGTCCGATGAACTTATTTTGATTCCAAAAATACGTAGTAGTTCTGTGTCCACGGAATATTGGGACACCCTGTATTTTGTTTGTATATCTTGGGTCTTTCTGTTTTGTACTGTATATTTTGTCTGGATATTACACTAAGTAAAATTTATACGCTATTGTATATTTTAAAGCAATAAGCTGTATAAGCAACTAATTTCAATTTAGTTATACACATTCATATTTTATTTTTCGTCTAAACTTCGGGGCGATAGGTCGCCGAGGGCGTTTAAAAAGGGTTTGACATTTTTTGTGACCCCCCGAAACATTAAAAACTTTCGTTTGCCACCGACCTGCGAACCCTATCCCAGCCCGACCTCGTTACCGCTCCCTGAAGAATAATTAGGGAGACGCCGTAGGATGCAGGCAATCCCCCCACAGATTAAAACTCCCTATCCGTCTTTACAACAAAGGATACCTATATACGGTTTGTGCATAATTTTCCACGTTAAAAGGAGAAAAAAGGATTTTACATACTTTGCTCGTTGGATGAACAAAGCCTCTTCCGTCGGTTTGAAGCGATTTTGGTTTTGTTTTACTTAATGACAGTTTACTTAACTTTATTTTGAGAGAAATAAGATAAAGAGAGAGTATTATAAAGGTGCAATAAGTAAGCTTTGAATATGTTTAATTCTCTATATAATAATTATCGTTTTAAATATATCTTAAATTAATCTTTAAGTTGAATGACTTTATTCTATATACCTCCTGGGGTTGAAATATACCACCCCTAAAATATTTGCACTTATTTACCACTTTGTATAATATTGTGCATCCTGTATAACGATTTAGAATTTCATTAAATTATAAAGATTTGTTCGCCACATTTTTTTGTTTAAAGATTTATAGATCTTTATTTGTTAGTGATGAGCAAGACTGGTCTTGGTCTTAGTTAGGTACAGGGTGACTCAACGACAGAGTAAAATCTTATTATCTCACTGTTTCGAGGTTTACAAAAATATGTTAAATATAAATGTTATAGAACAGGTTAAGCTACATATTTTAAAATTATTATAGAGTATACAAAGTGCTTCAAAAAACTGCGACAACCTAGGCAACACCCTCTTTTTTATTTTATTTTTAGATTCTGTGTAAAATTCTATAACTTTTTTATATATGATGTTAGGTATATACCTAAAATTATTAGTTTTTGTAATATTTGAATTTGTTTAATCTCTCAGTGTGGGTAAACAACTTTCAGTGTAGTAAAAATTGTCAGACTGTTTATGAAGTTAGACTACTAAAATTTGGTAGGAGACTTTTATAGAGATAAAGGAAAAAATATATGTATGTGTAAATATATTTTAATTAGACGCTACAGGGTGTTCAAAATATATTTATGAAATCCGACTATTTAAAATTAAGAAATCTAAATTTTTTATGTATTAAATTGTAAAATCGCTTATTTCTGGGGCTTACTAAACCGGGTCTGACAATGCAAATTCACCTCAAATATCCATTTAGTTGGTCATTGGTAAGCAGACTCTCATTGTATGTGAAAATAACAAAGCAAACATTTACTGATCTGGATAAAATTGATAGTTAAATAGTAAAACTCACCCGGGGGTACTCCGTTCCCTAGCCACTGATATTCTATTCAATATATCCCATTCCATATCTTCCATCTAATTCAAATATTATTTGGATCTATTGGTTAATATTCAACAACTAGCTGATGTCACCTGAAATAAGTATAGGGGCTCTCCCCGGACGCAAATTTGCCGCTAAACAGATTCGCATCCCTAATAGTCAAAAGGACTCGCATCCTTAATAGTCAAAAAGACTCGCATCCTTAATAGTCAAAAAGACTCGCAACCTTAATAGTCATAAAGACGCGCATCCTAATAGTCAAAAGACTCGCATCCTTAATAGTCAAAAAGACTCGCATCCTTAATAGTCAAAAATACTCGCATCCTAATAGTCAAAAGACTCGCATCCTTAATAGTCAAAAAGACTCGCAACCTCCAAATGTCAGCTCTGTGACAAAATAATAGTCAAAAAGACTCGCCACCTCCAAATGTCAGCTCTGTGACAAAACACAACACAACACTACACTACAGCCGCCCCGTCTACTACTGACGAACTTATTTTCCAAGTTTTACAAAATTTTATGTATTATCATTTTTTCTGATATATTTTACAAAACTCAAGTATGTCATACTTATACCTATTTTTAATAGTTCGCTATTTATTCCGATTTTTTCTATCTTTACCCAAATGTTTAATACAATTATTCTATAACATCATAGTTACCATTACAAAAAGTAATAATTATCAAAATTGAATATGTCTGTTAAGCAAGTTAAGAACAAAACTTCAATTTTAGTATAATTGGTTGTAATAAGTATAGATGGTAGGTAGAGATAATAATTACAGAACTAAAAAATATTTTTTCTTGGCTTGTTCCTGTATACAAGTCACATTGACAATAATAATTGATTTTCAGGAAAATCTGTAACTACCCTACCCAAAACAATTATCGCATATTTGAATAAAAGTAATTATTACATATTTCTAAATAAAGCATACATTTTTCTGCCTTTCTCTTGTGAGTTTTTTTAGGATGATTAGAGTACGCACTGACATGTAATTTTTAGTCGGCCGACTATTTAGTTGTAAAAATGAAAATAATACATTTTTATGGAGCCGATCGGCCCAATATTATATGCACTGACAGGCAATTGTTAATCGGCCGATTATTTAGTTGCATATTTGGAACAAGTATATTCCTCTAGAGCCGCGCTAACATGCAATCAAATAGTCTGCCAATCGGCTCCATAAATATGTATTGTTTTCACTTTTGCAACTAAATAGTCGGTCGAAATTACAGGTCAACGGGTAGGCTTATTGTTTCGAATTGCCCTTGTCAGTATCCGAACTATTTAAAACTGTAAGTAATAAGAGAATTCAAAGTATCTTGTTTTTCAAATTAATATTTTTTTTAGAAAATATGGGATAATTGTTTTGAGTAATTTATTATCTCTCTACCATCTAAACTTACTACGAACTACTAAACTTACTAATTACTTACTAAACTAAATGAAAAATTCTAATGTTTTTTGATGATTTTTAGAAGAAAGTATAGACGTGACCAACGAAGAAGACGATACTCCATCATCAGGGTGTGGAGTGTCTTCCAGTAGTGGACCAGTTAGACCCGAACCTCAACAAGCAACTCTCACAAGTCTGTACCCATCATCCCAAGAAACCATCTACGAAACATCGGCGAGATTACTATTCATGGCGGTTAAATGGGCGAAAAATCTACCTAGTTTTGCCAGCCTACCATTTAGGGATCAGGTAAATGTCAACTATACATTTTCTTTATGCACTTCAAAAGTTATATTACATTTTCAGGTAATTCTTCTGGAAGAAGCCTGGAGTGAATTATTTCTACTCAACGCTATCCAGTGGTGTATGCCGCTAGATGTCTCTGCCAGTCCTTTATTTAATTTGAACGAGCACAGCAAAAATGGAAATTCAACCGGTGATGTTCGAATTTTAGCTGATACACTGATGCGTTACAAATCAATTCACGTGGATCCAGCAGAATTCGCTTGTTTGAAAGCTATAGTACTGTTTAGAGCAGGTACATAGTAGTATAAAAACAGTCAAAGTAAATTAGATTCACTTAGGTTTGTAGGTATACAGGGTGTCCCAGGCTGAGCGTGCATTAGAAGTTACTAGAGAACTACGATATCTAGATTTGAGATTCAGATTTGTACATCATTGTTTCACAACGAGATCTATCGATTAAAAATATTTTCAATATGGCGGCACTTAGCGGAAATACCGAAAGTTAACAGCAACTTTTGTATTTTAAATGGGTACACCCATATTTTATTATATACTTAAATTCTCTGTACAATTTTATGAATTTTGATATTAAACACTCTAAACCTAACATTAACCGTTTTTGAGGAATAACATACATATTTAAAATTTTTGGACGAAAAAAACTGCCTTTCAAAAAGTTTTGTACCTATAGGCTAAAAGTCAAATTTAGTGATTATCACAGTTACTGTAACATAAAGAAAAGACGTGGCAACGAAAACCAAACCAAACTATCTATTTCAAAAATTAAACCGTTCGAATGTCATATAATAATGGCCGCAGCTGTCATGGAATTGAACGCTTAAAAAATTATCATAAATAGTTTTTTTTTCAAAATGGAAACTTTCTTTTTTTATTTCACTAGTGAAAATATTTTTCAATTCGTTACTCTTTGCCTATACATGTTCCTATGTCTAAATATATCGTTTTTAAGTTATTTAAGATTTAGTTTTAAAGCGTATATTTTTCAGGATTTTTTGATTTGAACCAGTAGCCTATGACTTACTTATGTCAAGTGATGTAAAACAATAGATTTGGCCATGTCATATTGTGACACTTTGTTCAAAAATCGTATATCATCGATCATTATTTCCAAGCCTACTTTACGCCGTTTTTTTATATATAATATTATATCGGTATACTAACTATTAGATATCACTAAAAAGCGTAAATACGAGATATATTTTTATAAATAAAATTATTTGATAGTTACCAGCCGTACTGGGATAAAAAATAAAGTAAAGTAAAGATTTCAGTTAACGTCTCATTTTTGCTGCCAGGGCTAATCTGGACGGGGCGTACTTTGCTTACGCGGAATCCGAACCGCGGTCCTCGGCCATATCATTGTCAATGGCCTACCGACTTCGCAAGTGTCTAAATCGACTCTTACTCACGAGATATCCGATCTCATCCGGCCTTGAACCGGCGGGAATGAGCAGTGTCAATAGATTTTACACTTTTGCCTTTTTTTGGACAACAGCACGATACAGAGTTTCGAACCGGTCACCCGTCCATCCACTAGGATCGCCTTACGTCGCTTAACTTCGGTGTTCTAATGGGAATCGGTGTTTCGACGTCGTTCTTCATATAAAGTTTTACGCAGGCGATAATTATAATATAGGAAATTCAAATAATTAGTTTTCTGGCAGATGGAAATAAATTACCTGATAGTTTGACCACACAGTTGATTCACTCTTCGCCCGTATCAAAATTCCTCCCGCCACTCCCCGCCTGTCTTGTAGACTTGGGTCAGTCTACATCCGTTGCTCGACATGTGACAGCGTTCCAAGTTTTTTTATTTTACTACTAGAAATATTTGTGCAGTGGATGGTTGTAAAACTAGAATGATAGACAATATATCGTTCTTTAGGTGCCCAAAAGATGAAGAGAGGTATATGTTTATATAGTACAGGATATTAACTATACAATAATAATTAAAGTATTAGACATATTAAGTATATTATAATTATGGAAACCCAACTATGAATAAATTGTTTTAAAAATATACATATAAATTAAGAAAAGATTTTACTCGAAATGTGCACAAAATATTTATTTTTAACAATTAGTTTATTATTTTAATAGATATTTTAGAGTAGTAGTAGATATTTGACTATTATGTTTTGGATTTTTCACTATTTACCGGTTGGTAAAGTGCATAATTTTACCTAACTACCTACCTGGAAAGTCCAAATTTTATCGTCAGGTAATAAAAATACGTGCATACAACTTATTCTGCTATTGACAAGTTTTTTAGTGTTTTTACTAAATTTTATGTAACAGTAAAAATAACAATTGACGAGCACATGAGAAAAACGATGAGTATCCAGGAATGATAAATGTTCAGGAAAACGTTTTTATAACTCAAATTACTATTATATCTACTTGCTATATTAAAATTCCTTAGTATTTTTAGTTGATCCCTCGTATACGGCCAGCGTTCTGACTGATAAAATAGCACTTCCGCTGCACCCGATGAACGTACAAATTTTTTGTCACCTCGAAGGGTCACGGGCCGCCTTTGAAGTCAAAATAACAATAGAATTCCTTAGAGTGAGCCAACTGTGTATGTATATATTCTTTAAACTGCGGTTTGACACTTAATGTCAAAGGAAGCTAGATGAAATTACGAAAAATATACGCTTTAAAACTAAATCTTAAATAACCTAATGTCCTATACCTTAACTTAAGGCACAGGAACATGTATAGTCAAAAAGTAACGAATTAAAAAAACTTTTCACTAGCGAAATAAAAAATGGGTTTCCATTTGAAAAAAGTGATTTATGATAATTTTTTAATCGCTCAATTCCAAGATAGTTACGGTCATTATTATGACTTTGAAACAATTTAAATTTTGAAATAGGTATCCACCACTTGTCTTCTCTTTAAGTCACAGTGGCTGTGGTAATCACTAAATTTGACTTTTAGGCTATACATATTTTTTTGACAGACTATACTTGTTTTTTCGTCCAAAAATGTTAAATATTTTTTCTCTCAAAAAGGTTAACGTTATGTATAGAGTGTTTCACATCAATACTCATAAAATTTTACAGAGAATTTAAATATGTAATAAAAAATGGAGGTACCCATTTAAATTGAAAATATTTTTAATCGATAGATCTTGTCGTAAAATAACGATAAACAAAAAATCTCCGATCTAGATATTGAGTTCTCTAGAAACTTCTAATGCGCGCTCAGCCTGGGACACCCTGTTTAGATAACATTTTATAAACATATTTTTAAATTATTGTTGCAGAAACGAAGGGTTTGAAGGATCCAAGTCAAATAGAAAATCTACAGGATCAAGCCCAAGTGATGTTGTGGCAACATTGTAGAACCCAGTTACCCGGACAAGTTGCCCGTTTTGGTAGATTGTTGCTGATGTTGCCGCTTCTTCGATTGGTACCTGCCTCCAGAATAGAAGCTGTCTTTTTCCAGAAAACTATCGGAAATACTCCAATGGAGAAGGTGTTATGCGATATGTACAAGAACTGACTATTAAATATGATTGAGAGCATGATGTAAAAATGAATGGCATTACTTAGAATGAAAATTATGAAAAATATAAAATGAGATAATGAATAATTCTTTAATAAGAAAATGTATATATTATGCATAAAGAAGTCTCTGTGACAGATAAGAGAAAAATATAAAAAGAATTTATTATAATGACGCCAAAGTAAACAGACCAAATAAATTATGACTGATCTACGAAAGAAAGAAAACAAAAATGGATGGTTTCCAATAATAGGGCTAATTAAAATAAAAGAAATTATAGTCACTGGCAAGTAGGTAGTTCAAAAAATGTATTTGAAGGCTCGATATTAAATATATGATATATTAATATGTAATTAAATGTATTTTAAGTGTTATAATGATCTTATATTGTACTTAGGTATCTTGTGTAATATAAAACAATGTGATGTTTATTCTCTAGTCCTGTAAAATAAAATATATATTACAACCGAATGGCGATTTCTTAGTTATTAGTAATTAAATACGAAAATTGATGGTTTTTTAAAAGAACATTACCTAATCTAACTACATTATGGAACAGCGACTGAATATATTATAACGGGTGGGATAGATAGCATTTTCTGGTATTTTCCATGTCATTTTTGGATATTTTTTTGAAAATAATTGTTTAAGTTAATTTAGATTCAATTCAAAAAAATTGGCGCCGGGAGGCACGTATAGCCGCCCATACTAAAATATGTTAATAAAAAGTTGGTAGGCAGTTCTATTAGTTTCAAAGTAAAGGAATTTTTCCAATTTTGGTCCGCGGTTATTTCCCCTATCCGCCACCTGGGGTCGCGTCCGATGGGAGTTTTTTTCAAAAACGAACTACGGAAACACGGAATAACTCATAAACTGCGACTTTGACTGATTTTGATGTTATTACAAATTTTGTTGCAAATATTATTCCTAATCTTACATTGAAAACCGCGTTTCGCTAGCTACTGTAATTTTGGAGTTACGATTTTTTTAAATTTTTAATTCTCTCCCATACCCCCTTACCAACCTCCCCCCCCTCCCACCAAAAACTAATGGCCAGATTCTCGGATGCCACAGTATTTTTGTGCCAAATTTGGTTAAAATCGGTTTAGCGGTTTTTGAGTTATCGTGTTACAGACAGACGGACACCATGAAAATATTTTGTATTTAGGTCATTTATGACCCAAATGACTCATTTTGAGTGAAATTAAAAAAACTCTTTTTTTGCCGATCTTAATAGCCTACCATACCTGTTGGTATGGTCGGTTAAAAATCTGTTGCCAATTAAAGAATTCTCTTATCAGGAATTAACGACTTTTGCATTAAATTTGTGGGCGTTCTAACAGTATGCCTTCTGACAGGCCGCCACAGATTAGTTTACTCCACGGCAGGAAAGTAGCAACCCTCAATGGTTGACCAGCTGATGTCTGTCATTCGAGGAAGAGAAAAAAGAGGTCTGTGGATATTCGACCTTCGACACACACATTTTCGCGCTAAAAAACCGAATTCTCATATTTTGTAATAGTGATTTACTTTGTAACTACTTATCGAGTTAATTAAATAACTTAATTGTTTAGTGTGCCTAATTTACAACCTGTAACGGCCACATTGGTGACCCCGACGTGATCGTGTAGCTCGCCGCAGTTCGCGTGTGTACAGACTCGTTAGTTTCAAAGTTTCAAGTGTCCAATTCGAACGTACATCACCTGCATCATGCACAACTCTGACTCTAATGGAACGGATTCGGCCTCCGCCTCAAACAGTGATAATTCGGCCCCAGCAACACTACGACAATCCCAGACACAACAATCCATCGATGAAGTGAACGAGGTAAGGAATATCCGACTGCCTCCTTTCTGGAAAGCGAATCCCAACCTTTGGTTTGCACAAGTGGACGCTCAATTCGCAACTTTCCGCCTCAGATCTGATCAGCTCAAATATTTCCATGTAATTTCTGTCTTGGACATCGATACCCTCCAACATGTATCAGATCTAATTGCTAATCCTCCGGAAAACAACAAATATGAATCGCTTAAAACGACCCTCATTGATCGATGCAGCGACTCTCAAGAGCGACAAATCAAAAAAGCTACTCAGCGAAATTGAGTTAAATGACAAGAAACCATCACAATTACTCAGGGAAATGCGAGTTTTGGCCAAAAATTTCGTCAGTGACACCATTCTACAAACTTTATGGCTACAAAGACTTCCTACCAATATCCAAGTAGTCCTGTCAGCGTCAGCAGGGCTAGATCTGACGAAAATGTCTGAAATAGCCGACAAAGTCATCGAAGTCACATCAAATTCTCCAGCTTTCATCGCTGAGGTATCCAGTAAGCCCAAACAAAATCTATGTGGATGTGAAGGTCAAATTTCCCAGCTATCACAGCAAGTGTCTGAAATGTCAGAAAAGCTCGATAACCTACTCAGAAATCGTAGCAGATCTCGACTTAGGAGTTCAAGCAGAGGAACAGCTCTTACTGACAACAAGGAGTATTGTTTCTACCACAACCAATTTGGAAACAAGGCAAAAAAGTGCAACACACCCTGCAGCTTCAACCAACCAAAAAACTAGACGCACCGTTGGAGATAGAGGAGCAGCCAACACAGGTGTAACAAAGCAATACCGCCTCTTCATCAAGGACAAAGCAACTGGAGCCAACTTTCTAGTGGACACTGGCGCCGACATAAGCGTTCTTCCTAAAAGTTTTGGTAAGAACAACACTATCAATATTGATTTTCCATTACATGCTGCAAATGGCTCAATTATAGAAACTTTTGGGTACAAAATTCTTACTTTAAACTTCGGCCTAAGACGCCCAATTACCTGGAAATTCATCATTGCCAATGTTCCACGTCCTATCATTGGAGCAGACCTTCTAGCTTATTTTGGCCTTGTCGTGGACCTCAAAAATCGAAAAATTTCTGATTCCATAACAAATCTTCATGTTCCTGGACGTTTTCTACCCTGCTCTGAACCTGCAGTCACCATAGTGTCAAAAACATCAAAATTTCACCTTTTACTTCAAAAGTTTCCGGAAATTACAAATCCCTCAATAGTCTCCACAGCCAAGTCAGGATCAGTTTTCCACCATATTGTTACCAACGGACCTCCGGTGGCAGATCGGCCCAGAAGATTACCACCTGAGAAATTCAAAATTGCGAAGGCAGAGTTTGCATACATGATGTCGCAAGGCATTTGTCGACCCTCAGACAGCCCTTGGGCTAGTCCCTTACATCTCGTGCCCAAAAAGACAGGTGAATGGCGTGTTTGCGGAGATTATCGCCGCCTCAACTCAAAAACCATTCCAGACAGCTATCCAATTGCCCACATTGAAGACTTTTCGTACAAACTTCATGGAAAACAATTTTTTTCGACCCTTGATCTGGCCAGAGCATATCATCAGATACCCGTAGCTGAAGAAGATATCCAAAAAACAGCTGTCATCACCCCCTTTGGACTGTTTGAATTTCCTGTAATGACTTTTGGTCTTAGAAATGCAGCACAAACATTTCAGAGGTTTATTGATCACATACTTAGAGATTTTGACTTTTGCTACAGTTACATCGACGACGTCCTTATTGCCTCGGACAACGAACAGCAGCACCTTCACCATCTTGGCCTGATTTTCAAGAGATTTCAAGATTATGGACTCAAAATTAATCCTTCGAAATGCACTTTTGGAATGTCACAAGTACAGTACTTGGGTTACGAAATTTCGTCACAGGGAACCAAGCCTCTTCAGTCCAAAATTGAAGCAATCAAGTCCTACAAAAAACCTCAGACAGTTGTCGAACTAAGAAGATTTTTGGGCATGGTCAATTTTTATCGAAGGTTCATCAAAAACGCGGCACGGAATCAAGCACTTCTAAATGAGTATCTTCATGACAGCAAGAAGAACGACAAGACTCCAATTGCATGGACTCTTGAATCAGACGAAGCATTTTATAGTTGCATCAACGACATCAGTAACGCAGCACTGTTGGCACATCCCAAAGAGAATGCTGCACTCATACTAACTTGTGATGCTTCTGATCTTGCCATTGGTTCCACACTAGAGCAAATGATTGATGGTCATCAGTATCCTCTTGGATTTTTCTCTAAGAAACTTTCGCCTACTGAGAAGAACTACTCTACATATGACAGGGAACTTCTTGCCATCTACGAATCAATCAAGCATTTCCGTCACATGTTGGAAGGCAGGATTTTTGTCATCAGAACTGATCATCGTCCCCTCACTCACGCTTTCAATCAGAAGCCTCAAAAAGCATCACCACGCCAAATTCGACAATTGGACTTCATTTCTCAGTTCAGTACCAACATTCAGTACATACCAGGTGAACAGAATGTTGCTGCTGATGCTCTTTCCCGTTTAGATACAATCACCATGCCAATTTCTGTGTCAACTGAGGAAATTGCTGAGCAACAGAAAGAGGATGAAGATCTACAGTCTCTTCTATCTGGAGACGTAACAACAGGACTGAATCTGCAAGCATTCTCCCTGGATTCAAACCAAACCATCATCTGTGACACTTCAACCAACACAATCAGGCCCTTCGTTCCGAAAACTTTAAGGAGAAGAGTTTTTGATATGGTCCATAAACTTTCTCATCCCAGTGCCCGTTCGTCAAAGCAGCAAATCAGAGGAAAATTCGTCTGGACCTCCATGCACAGAGATATTGTCTACTGGTGCAAAACATGCATACCTTGCCAAAAATCGAAGATCCATCGTCACAATAAACTAACACCTCTGAATTTTCCTTTGACTGACCAGAGATTTCAACACGTTCACATAGACATTGTTGGACCGCTTCCACCATCTCAAGGCTACCAATATTGTCTAACCATGATCGACAGGTTTTCTTGTTGGCCAGAAGCAGTTCCAATTAAAGACCAGACGGCTGACACCATCGCCAAGACGTTCTACTCAGTGTGGGTTTCACGATATGGTTCTCCCAAAATCGTCACTATCGATCAAGGCCGCCAGTTTGAAAGTACTCTCTTCAAGGCTTTAACAAACTTACTGGGAACCAAACGGATACGCACAACTGCTTATCACCCACAAGCTAATGGACTTGTTGAGCGCTGGCATCGCTCATTCAAGGCAGCCATTAAGTGTCATCAAACTGCTGACTGGGTAAATATCCTTCCAACAATTCTACTAGGCCTCAGAACCTGCTACAAAGAGGACCTCAAGGCTTCAGCTGCTGAATTCCTTTTCGGTTGCACCCTCCGACTTCCTGGAGAATATTTCTTCAATGAGGATATGCCTCCAGAACCAGACACTTTTCTACAACACTTCCGTGAGGAGATCAGGAAAATTCAGCCAGTTCCAGCAAGTCATCATGTCAAGAAGTCAGTCTTCATTCACAAAGACCTATTTACCTCCAGTCATGTCTTCATACGAGATGACTCTGTCCGGACTCCTCTTCAACCACCTTACAATGGCCCTTACCAAGT